AAACAAAACAAAGCATCAAAAAAGGCTAACCACCACTTTCGTTAGACAGCTAGATGTTTGATAATACAGTGTAAGAATCTTGGTGTTAAAACCCGATCACATGTTGCACAAAGGTTTTTACGCGGACCTTTACATTTTGTCTCCATATTCCCTATAAAAGCCGGGGTTTTCTTAATAAAGGCAGTTACTGAGCAAACCCGACTTAAACTTCCCACATCTTTAGGAAAAACCACCATCGGTTCTCTAAAATTAATAAAATATAAATTCTTACCCAGATGCTGAAATGATGAAAAAGATGATTGGCAACCAGCTTGTCCGAGTTGTTGTGGATGTCCGAGGGAAGCAGTTCACAAAGGATTTTACTGTTCATATCGACAACGGCAGCCAGGTTAAAAGAAAAGCACGAGGGTGTGTTGATACAGGCAAGTCCACAAGCTTTACTGCTGTGGACATAATCTGCTCCAAGTGCTGTTATGTTCAGGTGGGACAGTTTGTGTGCTTTAAATCTGGCAAAAGCGACACCAGTGTGAGCATTTCTCTCTATGCCTTTACCAAGTGCTTCAATAGTCTTTGGTTGACCTATTTGTGATAATCGACAGAAAAAGTGGAAAACAAGAACAATCGTAGCAATTAACAATTGCTCCATGCGTCAGCAGGCGCTTATTGATACGCGAGAGATTTGGAGACCTCGAAAGCTGTACAGGAGCTCCTCAAGGTGGATACAAATACAACTCTTGGTTCTCGAAGTCTTTCTTAACTTTCCAAAGTGTTTCATAACCTGACTAACGCACACCTGAAGTATGACACAATTGTTTTGTTGCATGATTTCTGGGGAGAAATATCCTCCACTAATCTTTAATGGAAGAAAAACGCCACCAGCGTGCAAAATTAGGTGATGCGGCACCTTCGCGCTATTGAAAAATCTATTATCTATGCTATGAACTGAATCAGAACACAGAATCGACCTCGAAACATGATTCAATTGAGGAGATGTGTATAAGAAAAACAAAAGTTTTTTACCTTTCGTTTTCATTGGAAAGAACATCAAAGCCAGAATGCTTATGATGTTCAGGACGACGAGGTCCATTGCGATGCGCTCTTGGAGAAATTTCATTCAAACAAGCACGCCCAAGGTAACAACATAATGCCTCGTGTTTACGCCGATTTTCTATAAATACATCAATTTAATAAATGCCAAGAGATATATTTATACCTCTTTTCGTCGTGAATTATTTACTGAACCTCAGATATGAGTTAATTGTCAGAAACACATTAGGGGCAACATCGTCTCCACGAAATCTGGCCAAGGGCAGATGAATCATTATTGATGCAAGCAAGAGATTATAATTAGTTAATTTTCTTTTGAAAGCCAATATGGCAGCGATCCTGAGTAATTGCTTGCATCATGTATTTTGCATTTTGCATGCCTACCTCTTAAGCAGTTTTATTTTGTAATTAGTTCGGCTTCCTTTGCGTTTATCTTCTCACTATTAGAGGGAAGATAGAAGTCAACTCTTTTGGAGTACTTCTCATTTTTTCTTTTTCATTTAAGGCGGCACTCAAATATTATGTTCTCCCATTTTTTTTTTTTCCTTGGACCGTCCCCTATATTCCTAACCGGCTAATCGAAAAACCACAAACTGGATATTTTCATTCAGTTGTGCCTTCCGAGAAATTAACGATTGTAAATCATTTATCTGTAGCATGTCAAGATAATTGAATGCGTGGGAATTTAATTGAAACGCTCGTTGAATGACAGCTTTGGCGCACAACATTAAAAATGCAAATTAAAGCTTTTTACACCTCGCACAAAGCTAAGATTAATGATAAGGTACTCACTATGAACACCATATTCGAACAGTTTTTTATCTTAAATTTGATGTAATTTTAAATTTGATTAATTTTAATTTTTTTTGGAATTTTTATAGTTATGTGGTATAGTTTTTCAAGAAATTCATCCTGACGTGAGTTAATTATCATGTGAGACCATTGTTTAACATTTCTTTTAACTTTATTGATACTTTAACGGTAATAATAATAATAATTGTAATAATGATAATAATGAGAAAAATAAGGATGTTCTTAACTGACTCAGTGTGGGTATAATCATCAGCGCTTCACTCAATTGCGCCCTCAAGACCACTATTTGTTTTTCCATAACATGTTGACGTCATTTGAGATCTGTGGCAACATAACATCTATTTGTTTTTCATAGTAAAGAAGCAAAAAGATTCGTTCGGTGACGTCGATCATTTATCTATCTCACAGGTCTTTAACAATTAGAGTGTCTAAATTTCCAAACGACGCTAGCTGTTTGCTACTAAGGAAAATGGACACTTGAGGATGAGGAAAGAATCTTAAAAAGCTGCTAGCATTGAATTTTTTTCTTATGGTCTTTTTAATCTCTACATAAAAAATTTTGATGAAAATCTAAGCTTATGAACCCAAGGCGCCTAAGCTGTTATGTTGCACCTTCCTGGGACCAAACAGGAAACGCTCGTCTCTTTCCATGTAACAGCCGTAATGATTTCAAGAGAAAATTTTTGAATGATATTTAAACACTATCTCCTTCCCCATAACATAACATAATTTCTAATCGATACATTTAAGCAAGGCCTCTACAGCAACTTTGGATCCTTTATGGGTTGGCCAGCTTGTAAAAGTAAACTTATCCTGAGTTTGTTGACATAATAATGATTTTTGAGGCCCGGTTAGAGAAAGACCACGAGTCTTCGATCCAAGTTGTGCTTCGCCAAAAATTAATCTAATGCGAATTTACACAAAAATTAGATCACGAAATGAAGTTAACATCTGTTTGAAAACGGGGAGCAACCATAGAATGGTTTTTGGTGGTCTTTGAAGAACAAGGAATAACTCACAGGTACAATTGGATGCAATTAGAGGTTTGAAAGAACCCCTACAATCCATCGGTGCCAAAAACTCGGTACCGATCTAAGCAGGGCTTTATACTAGATATCAGGTAATTGACTAATAAAAAATAAAAGGAAGTGTCTTTTTCATTGTTTGAAAGATGGTTTCTTTTATTAGTAATTCTTGGATACATTTGTTGAGTGCGTATTTAAAATTTCCTTAACATCAGTGACAAATTCTCAACAGTGATTAAGTGATAAGTTAATGTAATTAATACAGTTGTCAATAATACAGTTGTATCAGCCTTTTTATTATCGTCCAATGGTCTTTTGCCTTTTGTGTTAGCTATAAGTAACTAAATCAAAAATAGCCAAAACAAATTCATTGACAAGTTTAGTAATTGCTAATGAATTTTCTGTTTAATTCAAATAGGCTTTGTTTGAAATAACTTGTATACATATATCAGGACTGTGGTGATATATCTTTTTACTAAAATTCTTTGCAAAAGAATAATCTTCACACCTTTCCAGAATTTTGAAAATCCTCTTTAGCAAGAGCTTTATAATAATGAAAACCCACCAACAAACCACTGGCGGGACCGATGTACTTTAAAGGAGTGTTAATCGGCCATGTATTTAATACGAGACGATTAAAGCAGCAGGGAAAATTATTTTAATCATAATGACCTGTTATGATCAGAAGTTATAATAACACTTAAGTTCCTATGTACAATATGGTTTCAGTGAAGCCATTCGTTGTCTGGGGAGAGTCACGTTTGAAAGTGAAAAAAGCAATCAATACCGTCAGCATACAGAGAGACCTCATTCTACTTCGGTCAGCGATGAGAATTGATAGGTGGCTAGGGACTTACAATACATAAAAAGTCATGTTTTTTTTCCTATAGTGGGCGGAGTCTTCTTGCCATCATTGAGTTAATTGCAGGTCGAGTTAATCTTGTCTCCGAGAACGCCTCTCGGTAAGCAAGCGTTACTTTCGGGGAAAATTGAATTTAGTTTCATATTTAAAATACATCCGAATTTTACAAACATCTCTTTGTTTGTACAAATATCTAACGCACCTTTGGTTGATTTGACTATGATTATATATGCTACAATTGAGACTTAACGAATAGCGAAAAGATGGCTGGCCCAAGTAAACTGCATGTAATTTAATGAATTGCCTTAAACTATTTATTTCATATTTCTTATAGTGCAGACTATATTTCATGTTTTCGTTCATAACCTTTTATATCAACACTGCTTTTGATGGGACTTTGATGAAAGAGGTGCGTTATACAAACAATAACAAATCCTCATAATGACTTGTTAACTTATTTTACTAAGCACGCGAGTGCATCTAATTTGGCGACAAGGATATAGCTGTAATACGGGCGGTAATACAGGAACAAGAGGGATAAAATTCATTGAATTTACTTTTTTTTTGCTTATCTGGCATTCTTGTGGAGAGTCGTTTTCCTTTTTTTTCTCGGGTTGAAGCAAAATTTGCTTATTTCCATTAATGGACGCTACAACAGTTTAAAGGTACTGTTTTTATTCCCTATTCATTCTAGACCGGAAATAAACGAATTAACTATCAAAATCATTTTTTTCGATACATAATACTATTTTCACTTTGTTTGAAAGGAGTGATCACTGAGAAAAACTACAGCATGAAAAAACAATGTAAAACCAACCGTAAAAATAATAGTGCCATGTACAAAAAAAAGAATGGTTACATTGTGCAATAGCAGCTTCATGGGAATTTATGGTTTTAAAGAGTTGCTTTAAGAGGCACACCATGAAAACAGAAGCTAATGTAACTATCTTTCACTATCTTTTTCAAATCACATCTTAAAAAAGGTTAGTCTAAAATTGACGTTCTGAAAGAGAAAACAGTGCTACTGTATACTAATTTATGTGATGAGACTTGGTTAGGATACTTTCTTATATGAATTAACTGAATGCTGAGTGATCATGTCTGTTTCGAGTTCATGTTCAAGCAAATGTGCGTTAAACCTTGAACAAGTTCAATTTTCACGTTTATAAGTAACAAACCACGCCTGAATCTTTGCCGTGATGGCAATGGTTAAATCCTTCCTAAGTGAATGTACACAGGAATAATAAGCTCTCTCATCCGACGCATTTCATGTGATCTCTCCCTATAGGACTCGATCCCTGACCATGTGCTGCACTAGTGCTAGCAGAGGAAGCTCCAGTGAAGCCAAACTGCTTATATGCCACACTTGCATCATTTGTATCCCACGTATCATCGCAAATTGTTCTCCAGACCCCACTGTCAAACTCTTCAACACGACCATAGCTCCTATACCTATTTGAACCAAAAAAGGCACTTTTTCCAACAATTGGAAGTGATGTCGCAATCTGATTGGCTAATTTGCTGTTGTCGATAAGAGTAAAGACAACGCGGCTTGCGTCAACGTGCCACGTGATGATCATGCTCTGTTTGAGTCGTTTTATTGTTGTGACAAGTATCGTGTCGATAACAGTGCAGACCTCGCTAAACCACTGTTGATCCAAGTTTTGGTGCACACTAGGGAATCCAGCGGCTTAGAGATATTACGTCTCACTAATTTTTAGAGAAAATCCTTAGCATTCCATGGTGACAATTTTTGTTTTGTATTGTGCGTGCACAAAAGAAACATCTCGGCTGCTTGATAAAGTAGCTTTTAAACAGTCAGAATTATTGTGCAAATGGATTATTCAAAATAAATTAAAGGCAAGCATCATTGATTTCGAAACACTCAGTTATTCATAAAAAAAAAGGTTTGCTTCTTTGTTTATTCTTGTTGTTGTTGATGCTTCTAACCTATTGCACTTATAGAACAAAGTCACTTGATGCCATTCCCCTCTAGAAAAAAGCAAGTTTGCTTTTTCCCTTTCGTGTCCATTAATTCTTAGTTCGAATGTGTCTCTTCTAGCAACACTAACATCAGTACTCATTATTGAAAACTATGAACACTTAAGCACAAGATTTCCACATATAGTAGTGCTTCGTTCCTTTTCTATTGTCCCACGTTTAATGCACTGTTAAGAGTAATTGTTGTAAATATGAGCTTCTAGCAATCTTCGGACTGCTCAGTCATGCTGACTTGCGTATTACAGAACTTTCTAGAACATTTCAGCAATTCACGCAGTTATTTAGTAATACCTCTAAAATATTTCTTTTGTAAGCTTCTAGCAGGTTCCAGAACACTTTATAAATATATATATATATATAAAGACTCCCTTATGTAGTAGTAGGAGTTGTTGTGGTCGGAGCGACGACTGTTTTGAAAGTTATACTGAGAAAGAGTTACTGCGGAAGATTGCTTGTTTCAAGGAACTTTGGAGACAGAAGTGAGATTGTTTCGGTGGTGAGCAAGGATACAGACTGTAGTGGGCTTAATAAAGTCCATTAATGATAAGTATTGAACTCCTCTTTGGAGTCGCTCCTTGTTAAGAACATTCCTTGCTGTTTAGTAACGTAGTTGAGTTTGTGGAATTGTGGTGTTTTTCTGTCAGCTTCATTATACCATAACAGAAATTGGAAGCCTCTCCGGGAGAAAACTTTATTGCGGAGTTTGTTTTAGTTTATTTTGAGGAGAATTTACTCTCTGTAAGAGTATTCATAGATTATAGCAAGATGCCACGGTTTAATCCAGAGGTATTTCTTTCAAAGCCCGACGACGATACGCTCTACTATTTAAAGAAAGATGAGCTTATTTATTAACGGAAAACTTAGAGTAAGTAGTTGAGAAAGCGATGAGAAAGCGTCAGATACAACATATCAGAGTGAAACTCTCAGCAGATGTTAAGGCTTTCAAAGAGACAATGTTGGAAGTTGGAAAGAATGTCAGAAACATATGGGCATACAACGTGGGGATAATTCGACTTAGAACTGAAAAAGTTAGCAATGCAAGAAAGGCTCGAAAGAGAGGAAAGAGAAAGACAAAAAGAGTTGAAGAGAAAAGAAAAGGAAAGAAAAGAACGGCTGAAGAAAGAGAGACTACCATTGCAGCATGAACTAGAAATGAAAAAGCTCAGAGGTACATATGAAATTAAGGTTAGACCCTAGCAGTGAAAACTCAAGGGAGAAATCTGATGTCGCTAAGTATATTGAGTGAGTACCTCCATTTCAGGAAGCAAATATTGATAAGTATTTTTGCACTTTGAGAAAGTAGCTAGGAACCTTAAGTGGCCCAAGGTTTACTGGGCAATGTTATTATAGAGTGTACTAGTTCGTAAATCAAGGGAAATTTATACACAGTTAAGTATAGAGCAAGCTGCACATTATGACACTGTTAAGGATCTTATTTAAAACGTTAATGAACTTTCTCAAAAGTTTAGAAACTGCGAGAAAGTCGTTAGTCAGACCTAAGTAGAATTTGCTAGAAGTAAGGCTATTTGAAGCTTGGTGCCATTCACAGAGGTACGTAGACAAGAGTTATGATAGGTTAAGACAGCTTATTTAAATAGAGGGATGTGAGGGGTGCATTCACAGTGATGTCCAAACATTCATCGATGAGCAAAAAGGAGAAACGTTGGGGGACGCCGCAGAACGATTAGTGGATGAGTTTTCGTTGAACCACATAGTGAATTGCGTGGAAATACCCCGTCAGCTTCGCACTCCACCTGGTAGAGTTCTTCCTCCTTCGGTACCACGATAGCTTGGTAAAATGATGGAGGACATCCATAACAGAATCCTGCTAACAACCACAGAAATCGTTTCAGCTCCTCATGGTCAAGACAGAAAAAGTTTGATTAAAGTAAGCTCATCAAGCCACCAACATGTTACTATTGCAGAAAAGAAGGTCACCTGATTTCTAGCTGCCCGGAAAAGTGGAGAGTGGCGCAAAAACAAAATAGCATGGAGCCGAAGCCTAACGGTTTTATCGCTAAGCCATTATCTTTATCTCCTGTAAGTGAAGTTACACCTCCCCAAGTTCCAAGAAAGAAGACTCGGACTAGTCCTAGGAGTGAAGTCAGTGGTCAGTCCAAATCTGTCATGAATATTTTTTAAGCCCTTCATTCACAATGGCTCAGTGTAATTATCAAGTAATACATCCAACTCCATACCGATCAAGATTTGAGAGACACTGGATCCCGCATTCTTTATTGTTGAGTAACACTTTTGTGTTCTCTGAGAAGTCGTCCACTGGTGCAAATGTTCTAATCAGAGGAATCAGTTCCGAGTATACCCCAGCGCCACTTCGCACAGCTCATGTATTTCATCGCTTGAAATTATAGGAAATCTTGAAACATCCAACTCTCGTGGTAGCTCTTGATTTTCTTCGTTTCTTGCTGACTCTGTGGAGGCGGTGGTCTTAGGATCGCGCGGGTTTTGAGCTTGAGAAGGAAGAAATTAAATTCATCCATTTTTGGGAGGGAAAAATGAGAGTTTTGGAGAGAAGAGTTGCAAAATTTGCCACATTATACTCTTCGTCTTTCATTTTCATGCAATTTGATTGGTTGCTTCAAACAAGCCTTGAAATCTGATTGGTTGTTATATATTTGGTGTAGCTTTATCATTGGCTGGGAAAAAGGTTCGATTAAGAATAAATAATGGCTCGATTCGGGAACAAATCGCACCGATTAGAGCCAATCATTTTACAGGGACCACCAGTGATTTTAAAATGGATGTAGTAAATAAATTTATTTGTTATCCATCGTCTACTATCTTATAGTTAGTAGTAATGATAACTTAGTCTAACATATTCTTATTTACGGGATGGACCCTTTGTCTTTATTCTCTTCTTTTGGGTGGTTATAAATTATGATCGAAATCAGACATCCGATCACCCCTACAAACGAAAAAAAAAACACTTCACTCTGTTAGAGACGGCTATGACTATGTGTTAAAAGTGCGGTAAGCCCCCATGCAGGGGACTCAGACGACTACCACAAATGTAGTCAGGCATCAAGTAAGTCGGTAGCCCGTTTGCCACTTGCTTTAGGGAAAATCAGACCCAAATATCTTATATAAACTACGCGACTCACGATTATGAGATCTGTGGTAATATGAGTCGTGTTGGGTGCTTCTAAAAATGTCGTCAACAGAACTGACCATTTTAAAGCGTAGAGATCTGTGGTAATATGAGTCGTGTTGGGTGCTTCTAAAAATGTCCTCAACAGAACTGACCATTTTAAAGCGTAGAAAGTAGAGCTCATACTGTGTTAAAAGAAAGTGGAAATCTTTTGGCATTTGGGACATTCAAGTCGTTGTACGTTTTAGTCGATGCGGTATGGTTCCCGTGATTGGAGTGAACTTTTGTGGCATAATCAAGATGCTCTTTCTGAGAGCGTGGAGGTTGTCTTGGTACCAGAAGTACCTCGCCGGTGGATACGAGCTGGCACCGGGATGTCCTTCGTAGACGCAGAAAGACGACGGTATCTATGCCATTTCTTTTCAAGAATTAATATTCAATATTATGATATGTAAACCAGTGGCCCAGTAAGAAACCGGAAATTGTCTCATCTTAACTCTGAAAACCTCTTTGATTGTTATAAACTTTGGTGAGTCTCAAGGCAGTCTTGTACGTTGACATAATTCTGCAAAAGAGAGCAACGACGAAATTTAAGATCAGAAGTGAAAGGAAAACTCGTCAAAAGCGTCTTTCCAAGACCTTTTCACTGCTGATGGGACATGCCCGCAATAGGAAACAACTCAACTTCACAAGAAATTGCGACACTGATTTGTCACCAGAAAGGATGTGCCCCAAAATTTTCAGTTTTGTATGCAAATCTCCCGTGGCTCGTGTTCCTGAGCACAAAAAATGACTTTACCATTCGTCCATCACTCGCACGATCATAATCCTGGGCACTGATTTACAAGATAAATACTTAAGAGGACCTGCAATACGAGTAACATTTGTTACAAGAATTCTAACCTGATTAGACTTTTGTAATCCCCTGATGGAAGAGCACAAAAACTCAAATGACGGTCTTATTTCAGGATCCGTTTCCCAACAATTCAGCATGATATTATACCTGAAGAATTCCAGTATTTTCCATGGTTAGTGCTCACAGAATACAACATTACCAACGGTAGTAAAATTTTAAAATCAACAGAATGTCGATTTAGGTTTCGCGCATCGCCCTGATTGCACCTTATCCGTTTCATACGACAGATATAAATGGGTAAATAACTACATAACAGCTGGAGACGAGGCGGAGAGTAACCTATGAGTTTTGCACTGCATTTGGTTTAGTTTCCTAGAAATTCTTTTATTTTAACGCTAGGTTTAGAAAGTTGTAGCTTTAGCTATGCGTTTTTGAGAGTTCAGTTGGATTGCGATACATTACATTATGGATTAACTTAGATTACCTTATGAAAGATCTTTTGCCATTATCATATTGAAAATTACTGTAGAGAGGTTAGGAATTACTTACAACTCATCCTTAAAATAATCAGGTTTAGGAATTCTGTACCCCTTTTGTAATACTCTTGGAATCTTATATGGACTTATTCCGGGATAAGGTTCAGCGCCTAAAGTGTGTAATAATTTAAGATGACAGTCAATGTACTATGATGACCAAAGAATCTCTTAATTTTACTTTATAACTTTTCTCGAGTGATAGAGGAACAAATTACGAGAGCTTGCTTTGGATGACAAACACTCAAACCGATAGAAGCTGTTTTATTGAAATATTATCATGAAAGAGAAAGCAAGCTGTTGATTGAATATATGCACACGTGTGTTAGAAATCACTCATCTCTTATTCTTGGTCTCTCATAAATACTGACTGCTTACGATTTTCTCCATTTCCCACGGAAGTCTGAAAGTAAATATACTATCCTAAAGAGCTTCATCATTACCTGTCACGGCAGATGATTGGTACTTGTATACTCTATTTCGATCGATGCCTTCTTAAATCTTAAACCTTAAACCACTACGAGGTCAGTATAAGACCTACCAATGGTGCAAATCTCGTATAAAACGATTCCAAAACTCCACCTGCATGAAAGTAAAAACAAAAGTTCAGTATTTTCTGCCTTTAGATTTCCTAGATCTCCGTATTCTAGCTAAATTGAGAGGTGCTTATCTTCTACTTCAGCTGTAAGATTTCTAGATTTACTTTTTCTTGTTTTCTAAAAAGGCTTTAAATGTTTCAAGTTTGTAATTTCATTTATCTTAAGTTACACTAGCCTACGTGTAGCCGTACCCTCCCCGATGATGGAACGGAAGCGAGGGAGCGTCTACGCAAACCTGACACTAATCGATTAGCATCGCACTTACGAAACTAGATTTCAATGTCCATGCGGTTTCTGCTTGCATTTGTAAACAGTGCCACGGTCGTCGAAAAGAGGTGGATCATCTGCCGCAGAATCTCAAGGATATCAAAGGTTTCCTTGAGTTACGCTGCAAGTTATCGCTGTATGAAACGACTGGCTTTAATTTACCTTCAAAGCACCGTTCGCAAAGAGACCGAAAGTTGAAGGCCGACAACCCTCTTGGCCCAAGTGCATTAAGATAGTGCACCTGGTCTTCTCTGAGAGCTTTAAAAAAATAAAAAATATAGTGACCGCCTTCCCCTAAAGAAGAAAGGTGATTGATCACAGACGCAACTTGATGTAATAAGGATTTTCCATAGCCAGCTGGTAACGAAAGGGAGACATCGTTACCTTCGAAAAAAATATCTATCGCTTTCTGCTGTTCTTCTTGAAATGTCTTTATCCCAAACACCGCGCAAACTTGCCTTAAAACCTCGTCGTAGATCGCTGTTCTCTGGAAAGTTGACCGTGAAAACATTTTATTCAGCATCTTGTTTGTTAATATGAAAATAAATTACAGCTAGAACCAATCAGAATCGACGAATGAGTTGACAATGAGGAAATGTAAAATGGTTTCCGTGTTTACAGAGCCTGATGTAAACACGCAGAAGGTTGGGAGAACACGAGATAAGCGTAGGAAACCACGACGCGAAGCGGAGTGGTTTCCAGCTTATCAAGTGTTCTCCTAACCTCCCAAGTGTTTACATCAGGCTATGTAAACACGGAAACCATTTTACATTTCTTTTATAAAATAACTAATGAAAGAGGAACGAAAACCGTGTTTACATACGCTCATGTAAAATGTTTTTATGGCCAATCAGAGTGCGCGTACTATTTGAATAATTTTATAAAAGGGATTCACCAATAAAACAGTCATTATACATTTTTTTTGCAAAAGAGTGACTTCACGGAACACGATTAATGTCAGGTTTGCGTTGACGTTGCCTCGCCTTCGTTTCACCTTAGCGGGGGAAGGGTACTGCTACACTACACGTAGGCTAAACCTACACATCACTTTTCGTTGAGTATTCCATCCTTCCAGTCATTGCTTCAATTGCTGTCCATTTAACAGGAATTCGACCCTGTATTGAAAGAAGTTTATGAGGAGAAACCTTCATTTTTCTGAGGATATATTTAATTTTCGGTGATCCCCTTTTGGAATAACTGAGGGATTTAGTGTCTTTTTCTTATTTTTTTTTATTTATCTTCTTTCTTTTTCTTTCTTCCTTTCTTTTCCTCTTTTTTTTTTTATTTTCACCTTCTTTCTTTTTTTATAGTGATCGGATCTCAAATAGCATTAGTTCCTAAGACATCGAGAGATTCTAGCGCATCGATCTCGATCCATCTGTTAAAGAATAAATTAATCAATTAAAACCATAAATATATAAGAAAAGAGCGGAAGGCAAACGTAAGATCTGCAGACCGAGGTGAAGGACGAGCTTACATCTCTCATCATTTCATCTATATCTAAGTTTAAGCGGTCATTATATTAAAAATCTTAGTCAAAGTGGATGTCCTTTCATTATTGAAACAGTTTGGGCAGGATAACTGCTGAGAAAAGGAACTACCTGATTACGAGGTATATAAATATCTTGCAAATCAATATCGCGAGCCATCCCAAAATCTGTAATCTTGCATCTGAGGTTTTCACCAACCAATACATTCCTTGCTGCTAGGTCTCGGTGGATGATCTATTGATAGAAAACGAAAACAAAACTAAACAAACAAAAGAGATGACGATATTGAGGATACAAGGGAATGTTATAAAAAAATCATCAATTGAAAACACGCACCCTTTTAGATGAGATATATTGCATGCCGTCAGCTATCTGCCAGGCGAACGTCAGGATCTGCTCGGAGGTCAGGTACGTCGCTGGTTTTATCTCGGGATATTCGTAATAACAGTCGTGCAAACCACGACTTCTCCGAAGGTAACCGAGAAGATCTCCGTAAGGTACATACTCAATGATTACATATGGGTTTTCTATAGAATGATAAAAACTGCTTTCAAAATATGCATTGCAAAGCATATTCAAAGACATAGACTATCTGAAGTGAATGAAAGTTTTTTTTTAAACAATGTTTGATCTTTAAGGTTGAATTGTATAGTAAGTAAGAATAAATTAGAAGAATGAACCAAGAAATTGAGATAATACCTCTTGTACCTCCTTTTTTTGTTTTTGTTTTTATTACTTGCGCTAATAAGCCTTAGCTCCTACATTATCGAGCAGTATGCGCAGACATCATTAACCATTCATAACCGTTAAAGCGGCAAATTCGAATACTACTTCGCTTTGAAGAGTCATAAATTAGAGAAGAATGGGCCAGAATCGACCCACTGGGCCTTGTAAAACTTACTTTTTTGAGTATTAGACGTGATTTTTTTATGTCAACGCATGGCTTTTTGAAGGTTAAATATATAAGTACAATTTACACCTGAGATAAAAGATTTTTATGGGATAGAAGCATTATCATTTTGCACCTGGAAATACTCAAAACTCGGTCATTATTGGTGTGAAAGTCATTTTTCAAGAGCGATTTTCTAAAGACCCTCATTACCCCCCGAAAAGCAACGCACGGCAAATGACAAATGAATCTTACTTATAACAGAATCTGTTTAATTGGCCGATGGGAATCTTTATCCTTTTCAGTTGGAAAATTTTAATGCTTACAGTATTTATATAAATAACTTAGAAAACTAAAATTACTTATATTAATCACAATAATGGCACTGCTCATAGCACAATGATTAATTTAAAATGCACGCTAAACATTTGAAGAAGAAAAACTGAAAATTACTTCAAAAGCATGCATTATTCAATTTACTATACTTTATGCATTATTTATATGCCTGTGTGAGCGGAAGGAGTAATCAATAAATATCCTCAAATTTGTGTAAAAAGATAGTGATCAATTATACGTGTAATTACCTTTTTCCTCTGTGATGCAACCCAAAAGTGTTATTACATGTGGATGAGGTTCTAGTTTCTTTAGGAGGTTTAATTCAGACAACAGATCTCTTCTTTCACTTTCCGTCGCACCTTCTGTTGATCAAAAACAGTAAGAAACCCCCTTTTTAGTAAGAGAAAATTATAAGGGACGGAGACAAAGTTGAACCCTGAAATGGAGGCCTTGCGTAAGGTAATGAATTGCCTTGTTGCAGATAAAGGAAAACTTTTCTTTCTTTCTTTCTTTCCGGCCCCTTTGTTGCAAAGGACTATTTATCCATTCTAATAGTATTAGGGGCTCAAATGTGATTTATTTCATTCAATTTGGGTCATCTTTTCCTCGGGGATATGAATCGAACAGCCTGCTTAAATTTTCGTTCACCTTACAGCTTGCAGCCTCGTAGCTTCGTATAAAGCTTATCTTCTCAACTTCTTTAATTGCATTTCATTTGTGGAAAGCATATATTTTCCTCTTTAAGTTCCTCATCTTTAGATTTAACTACGATTTTTTTATGTAATTAAGACGACTCAGTTTCTTTGATTGATCCTTGTGATTTTTATAATTACTTGAAAAATATTACCCTGCAAGCTTTTTACTGCCACAACTGTCCATTCTGTGTAGCCCTGCAGATATCGAGCGTAGCCTTTAGAGACCACTCCAAACGCACCGTGACCAACTACTCTTTCAATCGCCAAGTTTTCCTTCGGAAACTCCCAGGACGGAACTGGAACCATTGGCACTCTATTGGAAAAAGTAGAGAAATTACGACAAAGGAAACTAGTACCCCATTCACACCAGCAAAACACGCTTAGTTGAACCGTGTTTAACTGAAGGAAAATCAGAACCAATAGGCTACATTTGAAGTTGAAAAACAATGGTTTAACCAGCTTCTATCACAAAAAAATCTAAACCGTGTTTAACAAAGGAGCTCTAAAACATGTTTAAGCTTTGGGGTGAATGGGGTATAACTTAATGATAATTAAAGAATTTAAACTTTATTCGTTGTTGTAATTCTTATACTAACGGTAGAGAGTCTGATTTCTGAGAAGGAATCCGGGAATTTGGAGCAGAAAGGGAAAAGGAACTATTTAAGGTTGATACTAAAACTTGCCTTGTAATATAATCATTGGTTACTAAGTGATCTATCAGCTTTTACACATAACTTGATTAGAAACCACTATACACTTACGTTTCAGTTTCTACTCGCTGGTATTGCAGTACTGTTTCATTCTCGTTTGCTGAGGTTTCTTTCAATGAGAGCAAGAGAAAGTATAATTATTAAATAAACAGCATTGTAGAGATCCAATCACTGATGATAAAGATCTCCAGCAATTTCAAAATGAGTGTAATAAACATCCCGATGTACTTGGCAACATGGAAACCACGAGGAGTAGATCAAAACGAAAAGGGAAAGTTGAAAATCTTAACTACTCACATAGGAAAATTTTACTCACTATTCACTCCACTCCTCTTTCGGAGCTTGGAAGTCACAGCCCAAAGAAATGCAGGAATGGCAAGGATTGACAGGTAAGGTAAGTACTCAAACCCTAATTCCCACTTTGACTTCGCGGAGCCGGCTTTCCCTATAAAAAAAAAAAAATTAGGAAAAACAAATACATGCAACAGGAAACGAAATTGAGCGTATCATTAAAACTTTTAAATAAATCTCAATTTCTTTCATTTCTGTGATGACGGTATTGAGAACTGGGGCTTTGTTTCAACATCGACTCACTCTAAATATGATAAAATTTCAACTTAGTAATGAAAGGTGTTGTTTGCACAGCGAACACGTCTGTGCGAAAAGTGTCACGGGAGATAAAAAAGATTGCCTGTTTTTGATATGGCTCGTACGGTAGACAGGTTTTTGCCTCCAATTATCAAATCGAAAGGGATTTAGCGTGGCCTGTACTCTCATCGACAACGATATTCGTTATCACAGTAGTCAAAATGTTGTGGGCCCACGAGGCGCAGCCTCGTCAAGCCACTGTCGATTTGCTTTTATCACAATATTGACGTCAAATAAGATGATTCATCTACGCTTGAGAGCTGATAGAGGCACTGCGTTGACGCGAGCAGCGTTGTCTACACTTTTATCGCCAACGGTAAATTAGAAAATCACATTGTGATTACTGCCAATCGAAGGTAAATGAAATTGGTTGCTTCATGAACGTTTCAGAAATGTGGCAATGAATGTTTATACTGTTTTTTTAATTCTTCATATAGAATACTTTACCGAGCGTAAGCTCTTGGAAAATAATACTATTGGGTATTTGCATTAGGCTTTTTCGGAATTTGAGGCGGAGGATACATCTTCAACGCCAACAATAGAATACATACTAAGAGACAATTCAAGAAAGCGTGCCATGTGATACCACGATTTTTGAATTTAAAGTTGTTACACTTCCCGCTGTTGCATTTTCTGGAACACCTGCATGGCAAACAGTTAGCGCAATATAGTTTGGTTTCATACTGATAACATATAATATAGTTATATATAAAAACTGGCCCACCGCAAAGAATTTCTCAAGTTAACCCAAGATTTTTCCGTGATACCGTGAGGATCTAGAATGCTGATTTGAAAGATGAATCATCATATTGTGATTACTGCCAATCGAAGGTAATTGAAATTGTTTGCTTCATGAACGTTTCAGAAATGTGGCAATGAATGTTTATACTGTTTTTTTAATTCTTCATATAGAATACTTTACCGAGCGTAAGCTCTTGGAAAATAACACTATTGGGTATTTGCATTAGGCTTTTTCGGTATTTGAGACGGAGGATACATCTTCAACGCCAACAATATGATACATACTAAGAGACAATTCAAGAAAGCGTACCATGCGATACCTCGATGTTTGAATTGAAAGTTGTTACACTTCCCGCTGTTGCATTTTCTGGAACACCTGCATGGCAAACAGTTAGCGCAATATAGTTTGGTTTCGTACTGATAACATATAATTTAGTTATATATAAAAATTGGTCCACCGCAAAGAATTTCTCAAGTTAACCCAAGATTTTTCCGTGATACCGTGAGGATCTAGAATGCCGATTTGAAAGATAACTTTTTGTTCTATAGATTTACGGTTAAAGTTTGATTGAAATCACTTTGAGTGACATCAATGTTTTCAGTGCCCGGAAAGTAGACGAAAACAAATTCACGCCTCTGTAGCAGAGAAACAAGACAAGAAACATTAGCCACCCCTTCCCAGGAGAAGACCATTCCTAATTGGCCTTGGAGGGAACTATATGTATCACTTTTAAGAATATTGTTCAGTACAGAAAGAACTAATCATACTATTTTACCGGTCTAATTTCCCAAGGTCATGTAAAGTTATAATTAAGGTAAGGCATAGCAAAAAAATCGGTAAATAATAACACAAAACAAGAGCGACAACAATTTATACCATAATTTGGTTTTATCGGCAGAGTTGATAGTGTAAATTGCCTGCGGCACACAGTTAATATAGAAACTTACCCCCATTGGGTGTATGGTCCCATACGGAAGAGACATTCAGTTCAGGTGTCTTCGATGTACTTCTCGCCTGTGGCTAAAAACAAAAGATCAATCTGTCTACTTGTGAGTATTTGCTGCGCTTATTTACTAATTCCAGTATTTCAGATGGGTTATATTCCTTTCATTTCTCGGTCCCAATATTTAACCAATTTGGTTTCTTACAAGTTTGATAACCACACTGCAGTAGTGCTGCTACCTAGCGTGGATAATCAGGCATCCAAAAAAGTCAAGAAGACATACAATAATTAGAAACGGAGCATCCTTTTATTACCTAATGAGCTAATTTACTAAAACCTAATATAATAACGGAAGAAGATGACAAAGATGGAAAAACGAAAAACCTAATTAAAATGCACGTGAGAAATACTTTGACAGGCCCTCTGCAGAAGAAAAAAACAAGCAAAATAACAAAGGAACAAACAAAAGCAAAGCTTTTAAAGCACATAAACATATGACGTGAGGATCTAAGATAATTTCCCAGAAATTTGGCTCGAGGAAGAAAGGACGAAACTACTTGAATCACCGTCTTACGGATTCTCTTTGTTCCCATTTTCGCGCTCGTGGAACGTGATGTGTATGAGAGCTCTTTCCTTCTTTGATTAAGCTATTATGAACCTTACAGCACTCAAACAGATTTTGATTAAAAGTGAGCTGAGTGTTACAGCTCATTTTACATCCGCAACGTCTTTGTATGGATAAAGTCTGTTACTAAGACAATAACCTGTTAGATATGCAAGCTAACAATACATAGTGGTAGTAACACTGAGCAACAAAACAAATAATGTACATCAACCGGTACCAACTTCTCAAGCATTTGCTTTCTGTCATAGATAATGTTTAACACCAGTGTAAGCTTCAAGAACAAGTCTCAAAGCAGGTGGAAAAAGGATGCTTAGGGGATGGTATTTTTCACATGCTTTTGAGATGCCTTATAAGGGTACTTAAATAGACAGTTTTTTAAAACATATCAACATTTTGATGATAGAAGCGTTAAAACCGCGTGGAGAATGACTTCAATTTGAGTGTACTTGTCAAAACCTCCGCTTTAGAAAAATTTCCCGCAGCAATTTTTAAATCGCCACTAAAAAACACGAACATTAAAAAAGTTGTAAAACTTGGCTCCTGATTGCAAAAGAATTGCCCGGATACCACTGCCACGAGCAAGGTACCCCGTAATAATTTTTCCACTAGTACCCAGGTTTCTACATAAAAGCGAGGCGTCATTCCTCGGGGCAAGTGAGCGGTCGTGCATATATGTACGGTTGCGCCTGAAAGTCTTAACCAGGTAAGCTTCAATCGTACATACACGCAGATATACATTAAGTTTTACATCAGAATCTCACCTGGACATTTAGGGTGATCTTAGAATGAATTGTTCGATAGAAAGCTCCCACGTCAATTTCACACCCGTAAGTGTTACTATCTGACAAAGTCAGGTCTACCAACTTATAGGCCAAGTACGACTTCGATATGTCTCCTGCCCAAGTGACTCGCCCGACATAACTAGGATGTGTTTCGTTCAACTTAGGATTATAAATCACTGTTCCCTGCTTGGTCA